TGGACCTTCCCATTGAAACTTGGGGTCTTGATTTAGTATATTCTGCGATATCGTGCCCTTCTTTTAGTGCAAAAGGAGATGCAGATTCACTTGTGCTTCAGTCGATCCTCAAAACGCTAAGGATTTGCATTGGGTAGAGGTTCCTGTAAAGGATGTGCAAAAGCCCAAGCGAACAACTACCATGCGAATCCCCGTGGTGCTTGTGCATGAGATGCTTCATTTTCTCGCAGATCTTCAGCAAAATTATCTTAAGCTGGGTTGGTAATTTGTTTACCCAAATGGCGCCACTTAAACATTGAATTGGGTTACCCTGTGTTTGGCGTCCCGCTTCACAAGGATAAACAGAAAGTGGTGATTCCCAAGTCCGACATAGAGGAGTTCTGGCGCCATTGGCAGAATCATTGTCCTTACCATGAGGCAGCAGAACAAATGAAACATAATCCTATTGGACTTTTTGGGGATGACGCGCGCTGGTCACTATCAGGGTCGAAAATTATCTGTTTTATGTTCAATCACATTTTGGATCGTAGAACCAGACTCTGGCCTTTTCCTTTAGAACCCTTTTCGCATTTGATTGTGTGGGTTTCCTTTCCATGCACTAAGGGCTTTTTGGCGTTAACTAACTTATCATGGTTTTCCAATGCTTTTCAGCTGCAGCTCAGGAATTTCCAGCTCTCGCTTTTGGTTGTTTGTCTTGCGTTACGAGGTGTGCCTTGGGCCTACGACACTGGAACCATTGTTTCGTGTTCAAGCTTGGAGCCTGAACGATTCTCAACGAATTAGCCGTTCTTTGCCACTGTAAGATACTGAGGCATGCCTAAAAAAAGGCAAATATCCATATATAGATAGTTATTTATATATTTATATATATACGTATATATATATATATATAACTAAAATTATATATACCATATAGCACACTGCATCCAGCAGTTGTGGGTGAGGTGGCCACTGCAACCACTGCAACCACTTCAAAAAACACAACTCCAACCACCTTTCGGTCCATCAGTGGATTCGCTCTGCCATCCATGCATCACAACAACTCACCTCTCCTATAGTGTCCTATCTTAGAAACTTTTGCCACCGCCTTGTGCGGTGCTACTGGTATATATATATATATATATTTAAATACATATATTATTTATATAAATATATATATATATACATATACATATCATTTACATACATATCTATGTGTATATATATATATATTTATTTATTTATTTATTTAATCTGATTTGCATATATACTAAATTGTATATATATATATATGTATCTATCTCTCTCTGTCTCTTTCTGAATTTGTTTTGCTTGGTTGTGTAAAGATATTTACACACATATTTATATATTACTTCTTGTTTATGCATATCTATCTATCTATCTATCTATCTATATATATATATTTGTGTTTGTCTGTATAGATGTGCAGGATGATGGCTATAACTTTTCAATGCGATCAAAAGGTGGTCTTTT